CTTGAGAAGCTGACATGATTGAGGGATTGAAGCCTGCTCCTTACCTGAACTCTCTATTTACTCCCTAACACACCCCTGAACCACGCTTTAGGTTTTATGATTGCTGTGTGGCCATTGCAATAGATTTTGGGCCAAGTAGTAGAGCAGTGCAATTGATCTACTTGTCTGGCCTTATGGGAACTGGTTTTCATATTGTGGATGTTGTTGAGGGGAACTGTCTTCCTCTGTTAAAGGTCAGAGTTAAAGTTAAAGTTCAGAGTTGGCCACACCCCTAACACCCACACACATTTTTACATTAAGTGCCAACTATACTTTTTATACAACAAATGTCCAAGAAAATATTCTTTATGGACTATTAAAAAAAGAAAATTTAGCTTTATCAGATTACTAAGAAGATAAAGTGGTCCAAGGTCATTTCGATTAAATATGAATTTATGAAATATTAATAATAAACTCTTCCTTTTCTCTCTATAAATATATAACTCTTGAATAAGATAATAAGCAAGAAAACTTAAAACATGACATTACAAATAATAAATAATGAACTATTTTTATCATTAGTACTTTTTGCTTAATAATATGAACAGTGTCTCTTTAGTAATCTCATAGACAATTCTAGGATAGAATTAGGATCATTATTCATGCATAAATAATTTCATTTTTACTCATTTATATGTACAGAGATATGTGGGAGGATTAAGGAATAGCACAGTTGCTTATATAGTTGGTTTTAAAAAACAAAAATCCTACATATTTGCATAAATATTTCCACATCTTCTATAAAATGATGGTTGTCTCTACTTCCCTTCAATCTTATCTAATAGTCTGTGACCTTAGAGTTCTTCATGGGCATTGAAACATCCTTACATAATAAAAGCACACTAGGAAATACAATTTAAAAATAAATCACACCAAGTAGTTCTTTAGTATCGTCAAGACATGGACAAAATGCCAAAACAGACTATAGAGACCCTAGAGCTGTGAGGCTAGGTCCTAAAGCTCAGTCTGCTCTTTCCCACCATATTTCAAAAACAGTATAACTAAAACATAATCAACAAGCACTCACCTTTTCGGTTACATTCTTTAAGTATCTCCTTTAATTATTTCAAAGAGAACTACTATCTAAACTAGTGTGAGAAGATTCCACTTCCTTTTTTGGTGGTGGACTTTCTAAGCACTTGGTGAAAATGACCAATTCCATCTTTATCAACCTAGAAGTAAAGACATACACCTTGACTTCCACATGGACTTGCACATACATACCTAGAATATGTGACATTTTCTTGGGGATTTTCAAGAAGTTAAATCCAGGTCCCTGAAGAACTAAAAGCTCAAGAGCCTGCACCTCTTGAGAAGGGACAAAATTAAAGTGATCTCAGTGGCATTGGGTCAAGTTTTACTCCTAATTGTGTTTTTCTAAAAAAAAAAAAAAAATTCTGAGAAAACCATCTTATTTGCCTTTGAGATCCTCTCAGCAAAGAGAGATCTCTTTTTCTATTACTGGAGAACGATGGCTGAACACGTAACGTCAGCTGGAGAGAAACAGTAGCACACTGCCGAGACTGGAGAGCCACATACTGCCTGAGCATGAATCCCAATCTCACACTTTATTAGCTGATTCATTTTGGACAAAATCTTGTGGGTGGTTTTTTTTTTTATTTCCATTTTTTTAATTGATATTTTGACTAAAGTTTACAGAAAACTTGTATTTCCATTCATTCATGGTTGCACATTTTCCTCCCTATCTCCACACACCCCCCGACAAGCCCCCCACCCCACCACCCCCCAACCCCCAGCCATGGTCCCAGTTTGCTTTTCTCTTTAAAAAGATTCTTTCAGGTGAGTTCTGGTGGCCTAGTGGCAAGAAGCTGCGCTGCAATCCCAGAGGTGTGTGGTTCAAATACACCAGATGTTTTGCTGAAGAAGGAGGGGCAATCTCCTGCTGTACCAGTCAGATCTGATTTCATGGTATATACACAAGAAAACAATAAAAATAATTTTAAAAATTTTAAAAAAGATTCTTTCATTATTGCACAATTTCCTCCCCCCTTCCGCCCCCTAGTCCACTTTGCACATTTTAGTGAGAACTGACATGGGGGTTGGGGAGAAACTAAGAAAAGAGGGGATAAATAATGAACCCTGCATTGAAACAGATGAGGGAAAGAGCTGTCTAAAATAAATAGATGATCAGGTATTATTCATATGACAACAGTGCAGAATAAGAGGTGTTTAGTAATGTGGACAAAGTCTTAAAACTTCTCTGTCTTATTCCCTCATCTTTGAAATAAGAAAAGCCGTTTCAAACTCTCAGATGTATTAGTAACATTATATGAAGTAATGTCGTTGTGTACCATTGAGTCGGAAC